CCGCGCGGGCAGCCTCGGGACAATGGGGCCGCGGCGCTTGCTGCTCGTTGCCGCTGGCCTCAGCCTGTGCGGTCCCTTGCTGTCTTCCCGCGTCCCCGTGAGCCAGCCAGGTAAGAGCTGCCGGCCGGTGCGCTAGGGGGGGCTATCCGAAGAAGTCAGGTTGCGCCTGCTTCGCGCCGGGGGTACGCCCGGCTGCAACCCTGCCTCAGTTTCCCCCAGGAGCCAAACAGGCATTGGAGCCGAGATCTAGAGTTTCCCCAGCTACATCCAGGTGGGGTGTGCCATCATCCCCTTCCCGTCCCATCACGGCCGGTACTCCTTTGGACTCGGTTTTGGGGAGTGCAGCCCGCAGGTCACCGGGTTTTAGATCCGGAGGAGGGGCCCAGGGCTCCGGAGCTGCCTCCTCCAGCGCAATTGTTGTTATTGTGTGGCTTGTTTTGCAAGACCACCTCCAGAAAGAAAGGGTCTCGTGATCCGGTGCTTTCGTTGTGAGGTGGAACCACTCCCGCTTAAGTTTTGCTTTGTTGGAACTCTTTTTCTCGCTTGATTTGCAAGGAAGGAAAGGTGGTGTGAAAGAAAAAAAATCCATAAACATTAAATAAAGACAATAAAGACTGGCAGTCCCCAGCTAGGCCTAGTAGTACCCAGGAGGTGACGGGGATATCTGGACGCAGGGGGTGGAGGGTGTCTTTGTTATCTGAACTTGTTCCTCTGGGTCGAGAAAAGGGACCCCCTCCTAGGAATCAGGCTCTCCCAGAAACCCTCTAGTCTCGGTTTTTCTCAATGGATTTTCTCATCTGTGGCAGAGAAGTTGCCTCCAGTACATTCGTTATTGACCGTGTGTTTTTAAGCATCCGCCTGTTTGACCAAGTAAATTCATTTGGTCAATTTATTTCATCGAATATTTTCTATCCTCCATTCTCCAAAGTAGAGGCGTTGCCTGTAAAGTTCCTAATTAGAAAGTGAGGGAAATGATTTTTAAATTTCTTCGTAGGGATAATGTGGTAGGAACCTCTAGTCGTGGCTTTCATGCTCAAGAAAATCTAGTGGGTTTTTGTTCGGGGGCTTTTTGTTATCGCTGAAAGAATGTGCACTCCCATGCTCCCAAAGACCAGGATTAAGAGGTAACAAAGAGTAGGGTGTTGCGTGATCTCTGTCCTTGCTCGGTGTGGCCTTGGGTGATGCTCCTGGGAAAACGCAGTGCCCCAAACAGGGCCCCCAAGTTTGGCAGCAACTCGCCAGCCTGCCTGCCTGTGGGTAGCCATCCTTCATCATTTGTGGGAGGAATGGAAAGTGTCTGCAGAGATTCGTTGTCACATTACTTTATGTTACTCCCTCGGTTTTATTTTGGGACAGGCCTTTTGAAAATACAGACCTTGAGATTCGGGCAGTGCCCAACCACCCCAGGCAGATCAGTGCCTAGCGGAGTCCTCAGAGGATTTTGGGCACCTTTAGAGAGTGAAGTCAGAGGCTTCTTGTAAATTTTCTTCCTTATAGGAGGGATAGAAGAGCCCCAGCAGAAGCAGAGAGACTACTGAACAAGAGTTGGCTAATGCATCCACACGGGGTTCTGGAGGCACTTAATAGGGAAAGAGAAGGAGAGACAGAGAGAGGGAGGGGTGGGGGAGAGAGAGAGAGAGAGGTGCAAAGTGGCCAGGCAGAATTCTTACCCACATTGTTGCTTTCCACCCTCTTAAACAATCTCTATGATAAGAAGAGGATTTATCCTCTTTTGCTGGTTCTAAAACCGAGGCCCAGAGAGGCTCAGTGACCTGCCATCAGGGAATGGTTATAGGAGCGGTCCGCCCACGTTGCAATAAGTGAACTCACAAATAAAAATCAACCAAAAAATAAATCTGCTTCTCATTACCACTGCATACCAGCAACTGTGAACAGTTCCTGTCCTGAAACGTCCAACACTGTCTCCCCATCCTGAATCTTCTCTTGCTGCAGGAGTACCCCCAAAGCTCCCTTCAGCCTTGCCCACCTGTCCCGGCTTTTCTCTCGGTTTCGGCATCTTGTCATTTCCTGCCTTGTCACTTTGTCTCTGTCTCGTCGTCCTTGCGAAAGTCATGAACTTCCGTTTATCCCCATGATGTCTAGAACAAATATTCTAGAGATATTTGTTGAAAAACGTGCGAGCGCATTAAGCGGTTTACCCCCGGGGCAGGTAGTTTAGGTTCGATGACTTGTATTTATTAAAGAAGGGGAGTGTTAAAGGGTAAGGGGTGATGTTTGTGAAGTTTATAAGAGATAGAAGGTAAAAAAAAAAATTAAAAATATAAAGTTTGGGAATAGTTGATAGTAACTGTGGCAAAATGCATTGGGATTTCAGAGACCAAGCCTGGTTCCTCAGCAAGAAGTGAGGGGTCCCTGTAGAAGACACACACCCCCACCAGCACCCCTTTTATACATTCTTCACTATCTTCCCTTGAGACTGTATGCCTTCTCTGGCTTCTTTCCCCATGTCACCCCAGGTCTCTTGGCCTTCCCCCAACTTCATATGCCCCTTTAACCAGAACTGGTATTCTGGATGAAGCGCCTGTGCTGGCTGCTCCTGGCTGTGTCTGTTCAATGGACTCGCTCTTTTCAGAGCTGTTCAGAATATCTCTTCCTATTCTCCCCATCCCCCCCTTACTCATTTCTCTTTTGTCCCTGTCGAACTGGAGCTTACCTGGGTTCTAAGCAATAATGGAGCTCCCATAAACCTGGATTTCTAACAGCCTGCGTTGTATGTAACTCTCCTCATTTGGGGCCCACCACGTCCCTTTCTCCCCTAGGGACTCCTGTCTGTCAGTCTGTCTGTGTCTTTTTGTTTGTTCCCCACATCTTATCTCCCTCCTTAGATTATTTATTTCTTGCGATTGAGATGAAATCCTCAGAACATACAGTCATCCGCCCGGAAGTCTGGTGTAGTCACCACTTCCTTCGCCGAGTTCCAGCAGCTACCATCCCGGAAAGAACCCTGGGACTCCTGTGAGAGTCAGTGCCTAGGCCTCCTTTCACCTGCCCTCTCCCACGGCTGGTTTGCTTTTTCTATCTGTGCTCTACCTGTTCTCGGGATTTCGCCATCCACACGTGGCCCTGTGTTTCTGGGGACAAATCCATTCACTAGGCTCCCTAAGTTCCCAGGGTCTGCTTCCATGGGACTCCATAGGAGCACACTGTCATCAGGACAATGTTGGGAACTGTGAGGTGCGTGTGTTTACCGTGTTGCTAGCATCAGACTCTGTGCTTTCTAAAGCCAGTCTTCTCTGGTTTGTGGCTTCTTTTATGCGGCTTTGCCCTCCCTCTTGGTAGAACTGTAGAGTAAATGGCACTCCCTGTGAGCCAGGTGATTTCCGGGATTCCTTCCCCAGATTCGTCCTCCAGCCATGACCTTGTTGTTCTCTGCCAAACCCACTCGAGTTACCAAGTTGGGGGGGGGGTATGCAAGCCTGTGCCAGCAGGTCCCAATGACCCCTTCCCACACACACACATACACTCATGAACACACATATGCGCGCACACAGTCCTAGGATAACAGTCATACATGAGTATCGCCATGGGAACTCATGCTTGGGCAGCAAGCACTTTTTATCAGAGTCATCTCTCCAGGCCTGTCGGTTTTTTGACGCAGGGTTTGCTGTGCAGCACAGGCTGGCATTAAACCCGCAGCTCACCTGCCTCAGCTTCCCAAGTGCTAGAATTACAGGCATGCGTCACTATGCCCCGGGTTTTGAAATGAAGGGTTTCGTCCTGCATCCTAAGGTATCCTACAAATCTTTTGTAGCTGTGCATGCATCATTTACTTTCAAAAGTAACCTCGCTGTCTTAAACTGCAGAACTAACCTGTGATTTGCGTGTAGAAACAAACAAACCTGTGAGGCTTTAGGAAAGGACATTAGAGAAGGTGTGTTCAAAGTTTGTGACAAATTGCTAATCGAATTTTAGAGTACTACAGAAAAGTGTTTTTTTTTTTCTCTAACCAACCATAAGAATAAGAAATATATTTTGCGTTAGGCACACTTGGGGCATATACAAGAACATACATGGCACCCGTGTTGTATAACACATACAAAGCAGAGTTTGCCGAGAAGCTCTCACCTTTACCATGCGCTATCCATTCTCCACACTATTCCAGTTAAAATAAAACAAAAACCAACAAAATGCCTAGGAGGGTGGAAAGATGTCTCCGTAGTTAAGAATGCACAGTACTTTCGTAGAGGATGGAACTTTGGTTCCCAGCACCCAAATCACAACTGCCTGTGACTCCAGCCCCAGGGGGATTAGATACCCCAGGCCTCCAAGGGCACCCACACTCGTGCACACACCCACCCCACATGCACACAACACACACAATTGCAAATAAAAATTAAATATTGTAAAAACTTATTGGAATCCTCCAGTTGAGTTTCATATGCACTGCTCAGTTTCTACTGGAATTTAAACCTAGCGTAGCTGGGACAGTGACTCGTCCCTAAAGAGCAAAATCCAAGCCTTGCCAGAAGAGCCCTGCTGTCTCGGAAGGAAGAACCACTCTTGAATCTCTATCTTATCTAGGACCCATTCATTGCAGTTCAGGTCCACTGATTGCAGAACTGATGCAGCGAGGCAGGCAGTGCAGTCCGAGAGGGGCTGGGGATCCCTGACTGTGAACTGGTCACTGTTGAGGAGAGTCTAGACAGAGCTTTCCTGGGACAGGAATCTTGGGGATGGTGACTGAGGGCAGAGAACAGACCAGCAGGGATGAGGAAAGTCAAAGGTCAGGGAATCCCAGTGGCTCTCAGGGAGGCCTGTGAGCATCCTCTAACCCCACCTCAGTCTCCTGCCTCCAGGCACCGTAGGTAAGAGCCCGACAGACTTGTGTGCACATCCCTGTGCCTTGGAAACACCATAATGACTTCCTGTAGCTGGCCTGCCACCAGCTCCTCCTGGCCTGCCTGAAAACCTCAGGGTGTGCCAGACAGGCAGCCTCCAGGGCATCTGCCTTGTGCCCTGCCTTACTGGTTTAAAGATTTGATTGTGGGTCTGGGGAAAATGGTGTTCAGTCAGAGTACTTGCTTTGCAAGCAGGAGGACCTGAGTTCGAGTCACAAGCACCCAGCCTCAGCATCCGATGACAGAAATCG